GTGACCTTGATATTTTCCCCACTGAAAGTTGCAATTTTGTCTGATGACGATTAAAGCCTTATCAATTGTCATTCATATGCGACCAGTATAACGCCTTTTGGGGCGACTAACGGAGCGGGCGAGAGGGTGGGCCTTGCACGTGCGAAATTTCGAGAGGGTACCTCCAACTGACTTGTGCACGGCACCATACTAACCGGTCTCTAGCGATGTGCCAAATTTGAGCACAATCGGCCCAGCCGTTCTCAAGATCTGGAAGCGGCACCCTGCACGTGCGCACGTGCAAAATGGGTCCCAGCTGACTTGTGCACGGCACCCTACTAACTGGTCCCTAACCGTGTACCAAATTTGAGCGCAATCGGTCCAGCCGTTCTCGAGATCTGGAAACGACCCCTGCACGTGCGCACGTGCAGCAGCACCCCAACTCTGGCACATGGATATGCAGTGCCTAGTGGGTGCCTACCTACATGCCAATTTTCAGCGCAATCGGCCAAGTAGTTACCGAGATATTGCAACAATTACAAAACTGACACCTCTTCGTTTTGCACGTGGCACGTGCATAAGGGGTCACCCACATGCATCGGGAATAGTCCAATACTTGGTAGAAGGAATGAAGCTACCCTACAAAAATTACCGCGTGTAAATCGGTCAAGTGGTTGCTGAGATATAAGCCTCGCAAAAGCGTGACCACGGCCGGCCGGCCGGCCGCTCATACTCGGAAATTTCCGTTAATCTAAGTAAAGACTACGCTCGCTTCGCTCGCTCCGTAATAATAAAAAAGTGGTTATCTCCCTGCGTTGACCTCAGGTCAGGTCATTTTTATGACCTGTCCATTATTACGAGCGGGAGCGACAGCGAGATCTCGAGAATAAAGCAAGATAGCGACAAGCGGTAAACCGTGCAGGGTACAAATGGATAAGTTCTATAATTTTTACTGAGGTCATTTTCAGGTCATGTCAAAGATGACGTCACAGGAGCTAAAAGGAAGTCAAAATAGCGGCACTATACATATATATGAAGTTTTTCTCGAATAACTTTCAAGGTATCCCAGCTAGGAACAAACTAATAGCACCATCGTGATCCTCTCGTCGATCCGCATAGAAACATATGTATGTTGACCTCGAAAGGTCGAAAGGTCAAAAGTTGACCTTAGATCACGTGACCTAAGGTTAACTTTTGACCTTTCGACCTTTCGAGGTCAACATACATATGTTTCGATGCGGATCGACGAGAGGATCACGATGGTGCTATTAGTTTGTTCCTAGCTGGGATACCTTGAAAGTTATTCAAGAAAAACTTCATATATATGTATAGTGCCGCTATTTTGACTTCCTTTTAGCTCCTGTGACGTCATCTTTGACATGACCTGAAAATGACCTCAGTAAAAATTATAGACCTTATCCGTGTATACCCTTTACCGTTTACCGCTTGTCGCTATCTTGCTTTATTCTCGAGATCTCGCTGTCGCTCCCGCTCGTAATAATGGACAGGTCATAAAAATGACCTGACCTGAGGTCAACGCAGGGCGATAACCACTTTTTATTATCGCATATGAATGACAATTGATAAAGCTTTAAGCGTCATCAGACAAGATTGCAACTTTCAGTGGGGAAAATATCAAGGTTACTCTTCGAAAAATAGGACAAAAGGTCAGTGATCAAAATTTTCAAAAATTGAAAATCCGGATAGCCAAAATGTTTGTTGGTTGATTGTGAGTTGAACCATATAAAGCTTTAATCATCGTAAAAAACAATTGTTTCTGAGTTATAGGCCGCCAAACATAGGGCTGCAGCGCGAACTCCAGGAATTGCCCGAGGCTATATCTCGGAAACCGTTGTTCGAAGAAAAAAATCCTTGCCACAGCTGGCTTCCCCGCCCATCACAACCCCTTACTCCAGTTTTCAACGAAGAATAAAATATGAGGGTGCAAATTTAATTTTTTATTTGTCGATTTGTCGTGGAACGCCCCTGACATTGTCAGAAAAAAAAACACTCATTGTCAGAAAAAACAGCATTGCTCTGAACGGCCCAACCCCAGGCTGCGGATGAGAAAGTAGAAAAATTTTCCATGTCGGCCACGATGTTTCTGAGACATGCTAACTAGTTGCTAGAACTATGTAGAACTTGAGCTCTTTTCAGTAACGTAATGCTGATAGCCCTTACCAGCCTGCCTGAGGCCAATCATGCTGAAAATAAACTTTCATTTTCATGAATCATTTAGTGAGAAGCAAAGGGACCGTTACGTTGGTCACGATATGCATTTATGTTGCCATACATTTCAGCGGTCTGACAGTGAGTCCCATGTGGGTGTGTTCAGCGCTCGTCTGTGGCGGCGCGTCCATTTGGCTCTGGCAGGCTGCTGTGTCTGTCTCAGGCGAGTGCCGGGGGTCGGGGGAGCGCTCCGGGCCGAGGTACGCCGGCGGTAGGAGAGAATGGGACAACCGCTCTACTATATGAGCTCATAAAACGGACCGGCAGCTCTCCAACTACCAGCTTTTTCAATTGGAGCTGTGCAACAGGTCCAGGTCCTTAGTCAGAGCATTCTCTGGGCTCTGATGAAGAGGAATGGAAAGGAAATGGCTTAGCAAGAACATCCAATTCTTGTAAAGCTTTGGATCATGGCGTACTTACAAAATGTTTAGTGATGACAAAAGTCATAAATTGTGTACTTTTATTTAGTGTTGCTAATTACGTCATCGCATATAAAAAGTCATACGTTATCCAAAGTGACTAGCATATAGCCATAATCTAAGGCGTTCTGTCTACTGATCATACAATTACTGTATATTGCACCTTGTAGTAATGCCTACTGTAGCCCATAGCAGCCACTCACAACCTACGCGCTCGGGCACCTCGGCTGGTCACGTCGCTTCCGTGTTGGTCCGGTCGTGTGGCCCTTCCCGCCCCCTGAGACCCCACGGATAGGGCACAGGTCACTGGTGGCGGTCCCTGGAGGTCTGCCGGTCAATGGTGCGAGCCAGAGCGGGATGGACCTGAGAGCGAGGAATATTTCCGACAATGTCTGCGGCTGGTCGCGCGTCATATGGTATAGTGGCGGCATTCCGTTGTTAATAGCAACAGCCAGACATTCCCTCGCTTGCTTTTTCAGGGAGGGACATCTACCTTCCTTACCCCTGCGTACCGTCTTACCTATCTGAGCCACCTGAGTTAAAGTTTTACCTCGAGAGAGCGTTTTATTTGTATATATTCAATTGAATTTTTCTGAGCCTTTTTGTGTCACTAAACTGTTTGGGGTAGCGCTGTTACTAACGACTAACCAATCCATGCTGCCTCCATGATATGGAGGACAAACTCAGCTCACACAATACCTGCCGGTTCACACGGAGTCGGTGAGCGCCAACGACATGAGCGCCGCTACCGACCCAGGCCGGGGTAGCGGGGTAGCGGGGCGGACAGAGGTGTGACATTTACCCCCAGGCAATCAGCCGACACGGCTGCCAGGGGAATGTATGGCGCCATTCCATCAGACCTGACTGAGCAATACCTGGTGTTTGCTCATATCCGTTTTTATGTTTTGAGACGCAACGAAGGTCGATAGAACAATATCCTGCCGATGACGCGGCTGTGCGGTATTGGTTCGCAAATATCCTGAGGAACGACTGTGCAGTGTGCACATATTCAGTCAAATGAAGGAAAGCTATTCTTGTAAATACACCAGTACAGCAGCAAAATCCATTGCATGACAGACCCCGCTTCACGCTGCGTTTGATACGGCGGACCGCGGACTTGTTTTCCAAAGAGCGATCAACGAAACGGCATCCCACACGGTAGCCGGGGCCGTCGGGTTTCAGTTCAAATGCTCTTATGGATCATATCGAGCGAGGCCGGACAATCCCCGCCCGGCGCTGTCGTTATTACAGCTTTGGTCCTGTACCGGAGCTGCCCCCCGTGTCCCACGCGCAAGGACAGGTGTGGGTGGCTGCCCGGTCACAGCTGCACAGAAACAGAGGGACGGAAAATCACCGTCATCCTTGTATTTACTGGACGTATTGTCATACCCATAACGTCATTCTTTCTGGAAAACTACTTACCATGTATCCGAGCTTCAGAAGCTTTGATAAAAATAGCAGACGCTGACGAAGCGGCAAAACTTGCGAAACTAATCCCAAGGCATTTCAAGCAAGTCCGGTAAATGATTAGCGACGCCTATAGTATTCGGAGAATATTCTGTCTTTTTACGTCGTTGACACGTTGATAAAGATGCTGAATGCACTTGGACAGTTCTCAATTCATCACTTGCCTCAATAAATGGTATAAGGCGGCTTACTGTCCTGGTAGTATACCTCGAACCAATGAGCCGTTGTTTTATGACCATCAAGCTTTCAGATTGAAAATTGTCAGCACTTGCGCATATATTGGGTACCTTTGTCCATCCTGTATAAGACTAGCACCTTTTGAGACTTATGCGGTATTATCACCGCATTCATTCCTCTAGAGAGACCACAGTACCTATAGATACATATTTCTTTCATCTTATAGCAGAACAAAGGAACTTCATATTCTGAGCACTGGGTATTTTATCCACAAAAAGCTCGGGCAGCAGACCTAACACCTAGTTTACGAGCTCGTCACCGCTCGAGCGGTCGATCCCCTTCCACTGGGTCAGCTTCGTGACCCGAGCAGCCAGCTACCGCGCGGTCAGTATCGGTCGGCTGGGCGCGCGGGAAACGGCCACCATGGTGATCGGAACTCTCCTGAGCCGGCCAGACTATAGTGATTGAGCTGAGCTGACCAGTCTTTGATCCCGGCACTGCAGGTCAGTGACTGACCTGATCCCGTCACTGATCGACGACCCAAACTGCCTTGTTTTCGAGATAAGACCACTGCTCAGTGAACTAATCTGGCCTTACCTCTGGTCAGTAAATTAGCCTCATTTTGTCACTGATCATGGACCTGACCCGGTCACTGGCCAGTGAAATGACCTGCCCCGATTACTACCAGGTGACCTGAATTGACGGCCCTGACCGGTGACCTGCACTGACCTGTCTCCGTGGTGCCGCGGACTGACTGGGGGACTCTCCACCAGCTCCTCGGAGGCCGTCAGGTGGTCTTCGTCAGCCATGGTCTTCGCTTCCGGTCTGGCTATTGCTTCTTATCGCTGTGTGTGTTTATTCAGCTTTCAGATCCTCTTCCTGAGATCTGAGTCTTTGTAGCTCGGTCGCTGAGCGCGATTCACTTTTACGTCCCTTATTGTTTCATCTAATCACCACGAAACCTTTACCAATCCGCAGTGTCCCCGGCACACAGTCCTCCGCAGGCCCAGCGTCCGTCCCCGACACTGCGGGCCCCGCTCAGCGCCTGCCGCCGGCTCCGGCGCCGGGCCGTCGCTCTGCCGCCTGCCGCCGGCCCCGCCCGCCGGCTGCACACTGGCGGCCGGCGGCCACCCGGGCCGGCCGCGGCGGGGAGAGCCGCCGCCGCCGCCGCCGTCGGGGAGTTCGCAGCCGCCGGCCGTACCGGCGGCCAGATCGATTTGTCTCCTCGCTGACACCAAATGGGTGGCCATTGTGGGCCGAGCTACTCGGCAGCAGAGGTGGTCAGCGACAGATCGGAACGGTGGACCGTTCTGTCAGCGGTCACCGGCAGTATTGTCAGCGGCGAGCGGTTAGTAGAGCGAGAGCCTGTCATGTCAGCGGTTAGTGGCGCACGCAATGTTAGTGGTCAGCAGCCGCTGACACTGACTTTGTCAGCAGCCGATGGCTTCCCGTAATACCCGCTTGGCCAGCAGTCGGTAGCGATCGTATTCTGAAATGTCGGTGACCAGCAACCAGCCGGTGGCTCATCGTAATATCAGCGGTGAACGGCTGGTAGTTCATTGTAATATGAGTGATAAGCAGACGGTAGCCAGCGTAATACCAGCGGTTGGTGACTGCGGACACAGAAAAGAAAAATGAAGTTGTTGTGCTCGCGAATAGGTACAATAGCGTGGTGTTGTTATTACGGAGCGAGCGAAGCGAGCGTAGTCTTTCCTTAGATTAACGGAAATTTCTGAGTATGAGCGGCCGGCCGGACGCTTTGCGAGGCTTATATCTCAGCAACCACTTGACCGATTTACATGCGGTAATTTTTGTAGGGTAGCTTCATTCCTTTTACCAGGTATTGGACCATTTCCGATGCATGTGGGTGACCCCTTATGCACGTGCCACGTGCAAAACGAAGAGGTGTCAGTTTTGTAATTGTTGCAATATCTCGGTAACTACTTGGCCGATTGCGCTGAAAGTTGGCATGTAGGTAGGTACCCACTATAGGCACTGCATATCCATGTGCCAGAGTTGGGGTGCTGCTGCACGTGCGCACGTGCAGGGGTCGTTTCCAGATCTCGAGAACGGCTCGACCGATTGCGCTCAAATTTGGTACGCAGTTAGGGACCGGCTAGTAGGGTGCCGTGCACAAGTCAGTTGGGACCCATTTTGCACGTGCGCACGTGCAGGGTGCCGCTTCCAGATCTCGAAAACGGCTGGGCCGATTGTGCCCAAATTTCGCACATCGCTAGGGACCGGTTAGTAGGGTGCCGTGCACAAGTCAGTTGGAGGTACCCCCTCGCAATTTTGCACGTGCAAGGCCCACCCTCTCGCTCGCTCCGTTAGTCGCCCGAAAAGGCGTTATACTGGTGGCTAATTTAAATTCATTTATTCACTATGCTCCCTTGAGCCCAGAACCATTAAACCAAATGAAGAATGTGCTAGTTCAGTGCGTTATGGTTTTGCGGTGTACTATATTTTCAGAGATGCAGTCCTGTCAGGAAATTATCGCTAGGGTATTGTTTTCTTAAAGTTTTAGATGTTTCTTTTTTATAAATTTAGTCCGAACCTTTTTGCTAGGAAGGATTCACAAGGACAGAGCCACCGCTAAGCGAAGCTTGTTGCGGTGACCCTGCCCTCTACCCTCCGATCGCGCAATTCCAGTTCTATGGCAGAATTTAGAGTCCAAAGTCTAACGTGCGCACATAGCCGCGCACGGCCGGTCCCCTCACTGACGTCGCCTGGCTGCGGCCTGCCACCAACCGCAACCATACCTGTCAGGAGGCCCATAAATGTCAAGCGCCCGTCGCGCTTCGAACCCGGACTGTTACAACCGGGAACGCGTGCTCTCACCACGCGGAGTCCAACGCTCTACCGACTGAGCTACGGGACCGGGACCGGCGGGACTTTTGCTGTTTTATTTCCATTCTTGTCTCTATTATTTTACTTACATGATAACATTATACAAGATGCCAATAAATCGAGCAATTCGAAAAAAGTAAGCTAATGTTGAAAGCTGTATCAGTATCTGATTATATAAACCGTGATAACTTTCAGGTGCCCGAACAGGAAAGCTTGCTCAGCTCACGTGAGACAAGTGCACTTATACCTTTAAATGCTCACCGCACTCAGCACAGTACAGTCAATCTATTGCTATAGACACGCATGCCAGTTACAACATTCGGTACAGCGGAGTGCGCGTCCTCTCCAGTACTATGCGCCTCGGGAGATACGCTGCTCCCCAGGTTTCTGTTCCACACTGGGTCATCCCACCTGGTGTGCGTCTCCGCGCCGCCGCAGGGCGCACTTTGGGTCCATCGCCAGTCACACACAACGCAAATAAGCAGACATTACAGACAGCACCTCCCCTCGGTCGGGTGGGGACCGGAGCCAAGATAACCGCCGCCCGGTGCCTGCTCCATATTCCTGGCAGCACGAATGGCCGGGCTCAAATGCCACCCACGGAGTTGCTGCATGCTATTGCTTATTTACGGGTCTTTATTTACCTCGACGATCATAGATCTGTTGTTCACCCATGACGAGCCTTCGCCCCATTTTATCTTTGAATTGTCCACCCGTTCACTATATAGTACCATTGTTTTCGTCACAGTCACCCAGTAAAATCGATAGTACCGTACACCAAGCTGTCATGTATTGCTCAGTGCATCAGAAAGCGTATTTTATAGCAGGTTATTTGTGGAGGCTATTCTTAGAGCCCGCCCCGTTGAAGCGCTTTCGCTGACAGTGACTATTAATAGAAGGATGCGGGCAGGGAATGCCAGGATTAACTCCGCAGTTATATGCCATTATGCATTACGTTTGACAGGATATGTCCAGTCGTAGGCGTCTCATATATTCCGCGTGTTTTTAGCGATGATAATGCTGCATTAGCAGTATCTGTTCCGTACCATACATAAATGCCTAAATACCTAAATAGCGATAGCAAACTGTTCCGAACAAAGGTATACTTCCATCTCAAAGTTGACGGTTGCAAAATGCATAGTATTATGCACAGTATAGGTCTACAAAATAAGTCCTCTCCGTATGTGGGCAGGTTTATGTACAGTAGGTTCACAAAATAAGTCCCCGCCGTAAGCGGGTCACCAGTGGGCACTGGGCAGTTAGCGCTTGAGCGCTACTCAGGCACCACCTTGACCTACCCGCATAAGGAGAGGACTTATTTTGTAGACCGACTGTACACGCGAAAATGGAATGATAATGGAGTGATGCAGCGAAAGCTTTGCTATTATTTTTTAGCTATACGACTGGCTTCAAATAAACAATCATTTCTTCCCTGTCTTTCAATCCCGTTTCTGGTATCATGCGTTTGCTGATGACTTCATTCTTCGCGTAAGCTTATTTCGTCAGCAGCAGCAAATAGCGCACAAATGGAAATGATATGGTGAGACATGCAAAATATCGGAAATGTACATGTCTTTCGCAGATATTTATTTTTGGTTGACATTGTGGTAGCTGAGAAACAACTGTTCCGTATTCGGACATTTCAATAAGCCAAAAAAGTTAAAATTTCTGCAACAGGCCATTTCATCATCTTTTTTGATCGTTTACTTCAAACACGTAGTGGCTGACAAAGACAGATACACAGTGCGCAATATTCAGTACCTGAAATGTACTTTAGTGTAATTGCGTTGTTAAAATTACTAGGCTTACCTAATCATTATATAAGCCGATACGCTCAGACATTAGCTTCCTAAAACCTTCCTGATATTGCTGACTTCTTCAATGACCGTTTTTGCTTTAACGGAAATGGCAGCAAATGATTAAGGCTGTCAACGTTTAAAAATTAAGTGTATTTCCTGCAATGGTGCGACAGTTGATTAGACATCTTACCACCATAAAGTACCGCCAGCTTGTGGCTAACGTGGCTGTTGCGCCAAATATGCGTCACACATCACACAGAGATGCCAGAGTGGCGTCACTCTGACGTCATTGAACAGCAGCGAGTGTCTGGCCGCGCTGTCCAGATACGACCTGCCGCTGAAACGTACGGGCGCTGGGCACGAGCTGACCTTCACCGACATCTGAGACACTGGCCGGGGTCAGGCGAACAATGGTTATACCACCTACTATAGGTCAGTGTTTGAAGAGCGCCACCTTTTTACAGCGGCAGAAACACGCCCTGTGGTGCAGCTCTAACTGACCCTGTCAACCGAAATCCGTCGCCCCCATGTTCGCGCGATCAGTTGCCGCCGGCTGGTCATCGTCACCCGCTGGTATTGATTCCGGCGAGGAATAAGCCCCAATTGATTCCGGTGACCAAGTTGCCGTTCCCGATTCTGCGAAGTTCGGGGCGAGAAGTTCTGGTTTCCTTATAAACTAATGTGCAGCAGTCGATCTCGTATGGTGTAAATGGTACAGAAAAGTCACATAAAAACACACAGGACCGATACAGACTCAGCATGAAATGGAAAACGCTTGCATTGTACGACGCTTGAATTGCATGGCGCTTTAAGTTGGCAACTCAGCAGCGGATGCAATGCTACTTAAAAATTTATTACTCTTTACTCCACAAGCAAAGAAACGAACGGACCTGCCCGTCACAGCAGTGGGCTCAAATCAGGGAGAGTCGCACCCGGCGGGGCAGACCCGCCGGTCACAGCCGTGGGATCGACTCACGCCCGGTGGCGGCGCTATGTGTTATTTGGCCGGTCAGCAGACATTGGAATGCCGATCGATGGTCGGTTTCTGACGTCCACCCCTGCCCGCACGACAGGAGACCCACCGCTGACCAGTGACCGCCCTCAGCCGCTGGCAGCTCAACAAGAATGTCCCCGCACGTCGGCGGTGACGCCAGGCCGGTCGTATTGTGCTCAGGTGACACGGAAACGCTTGGATGAGATCCATCTGATGAAATCGGGATAAATCCGCAACGATGAAAAATTATTCAGATTGGCGCAGCTGCACCGTATCAGGTATCATTGGCAACTCCAATCAAGTATTATTCGCTAAAGTATCAGGTATTCGGCGCATCCAATCGCAATTTTCTGTTTAT